GCGGGCTGTGTCCCAATGGCAGGAGTAGGAGGCTTGCCTCGCATTCTTGTCTTCGCCTTGGCCTTCCTGATAAGTGCGGCCGTTGTGATCCGCCGTGATAGCAATGGTTTGTGTTGGATGGGATTTATTTTCGAGGGGTTTTGCCCGGGCGCCGGGTTTCCCCTCGACCACCGTATTGGCATTTTATTGATGTATCCGGGGTGTTTTTGCCCCACTGATGGTTAGTCACTTGCGTGAAGAACCAGGGAGGGTGTTCGTGGGTCTACGGACATGGTTTGGATATGTTAGCCGTACGTACAAGTGTGACGCAGATGGTGTAGAACCTTTTAGGTAGGGGTACGGTGATGATGCACCGGGGCCCCCTTTTGTTGTGTGCAGCAGCCCTGCTGCCACTCCTCCTTTCTGAGCACGACAGCGCCCTGGGTACGGGCGTTGCCTCACCGTCTGAAGTTAATACACTACACAAACAATACCCGATAAGTACGCGGAGTACGGCCGACAAACACCTCTGTGTGGTAGAGAAGTACGGAGCAAGGTGTCCTTTCGCTCTCCAACTGGCGTCAACATTTCTTAAGGTTCCAAGCGACCCTATGCGACCCCATCAAATGTGGCGATAGATTCTATCCGTGACTCTATCCCTGATAGAATCATGCGTGACCAAACATTCCGTGGAATCTCAGTAAGATCCAATTCGATCAATGACTGCTCGATGATACTCTGCCGGAGGACAAACAAACCGAAAACATTCCCTCGGAGGGAAATGCTCGGGTACCATAGAGTTGGCCGCACTTCAAAGAAAGGGGACGAATCGATTCCCACACCGCCAACGTACCTGGAGTATGTAGCTCCCACCAGGAACAACGAGAGAGATAAATTAATATCTGCGACACGTTTTTTAGCCTTTGGTTTGACAACTCTTTGGCTGCCTGAGCGACCGCTCTTCACGTACATGCTTCGAGAAGCCGAATACGAGAAAAGTCAAGAGCAAACCCAAATCCTGCCTGCTTTCCCCAATGTGTGGCCCTGAAAAAACTCAAAACTGCATACGATATGCGGCAAGCAAGCACGCCGAAGCGCGGGGGGGCAGACTTTATACATGCCCGCCGACCTCGTGGGCGCCTCAAGTGACGACATCGAAACAAAAAACGTTCAACCACCAGGCTGCTGTACAGGCAGCGTATTGCAAACAAGGAAAAGCTCAAGAAGAGAATACAATATTTCAAACGCCGGAAGCAACGCAAACACCACCCCAAAGACCATGCCAGACTGTACCACATTGGCCCAGGTCCCTAGAACCCCGTTGAAGACGGCATCGACTACATGTAGAAGGCCTCCTTCACCTGGCGCCATGGTGCAGGTACTATTGCAGCAGCAGATAGTGGTTCCCAAAACGATAAAGAACCATATTTGGACGTCCGTCTCAAGTGCGCACAACGCCATAACGTCAATAACGAGAGGCCATAGCATGTGCACGGATATCACAAGTATAAGATATCCTGACCACTGACTTCTGTAACTGAAGCTCTGCGACCAAGACGTGTTGCCGGTGCAGCGGGCAAGGCAGGCCACGATAGCTCGTAAGAATGCCCTCTCCGGGAGTGCACGCCCTTCCCCAAGCCCCCACAACACGAGCTGTGACATCACGGCCACCCCGCACCTGTAAAATGTTGCGTACGAAACGAGCTGCGGGCCTTCACCCTCCACACACGTGTCCTCAGCGGGTAGCAAAGGATATTCAGGGTCTTTCATCGCCATTTGTTTGGATATCCGGCCTTCACCCCTTGTAAATAGAACTATGGCTACACCAAGCTCCAATGCGAGAAGGAACCATGCGAAAATACATCCAGCGGTTTTCTTCTGCGAGTCCTCAATCCCCGATTCCTCCGATGATGCGTGGGCCCAGCCGGATTCTTGACCATGCACCCGTTCCAATAATTTTGCCATGCATACTTTGTTGACTATGGAACATAAACCTCCAAAGATGAGTATCAACACAGCGCCTCCAATGATGAAGTTTAAGACTTTACCCCCAAAAGAGTCGGTGACGTCTCCGTCATCATCGTATTCGCTGTATTCATTGTATTCGGGAGCACTGAGATCAAGGCAGTTGTACCCGACCCCTCCGCACGAAAACGTAGCTCCATCCATACAGGAATACTCGCAGCAGTCCCCCCCATCGTAGTCGCAAGGCGCGTAGTTATTTTCTGACAAGATATGTACATGACACCGAGGCGACGGTAAAATAGGTCAAGTCAACGTTACTTCTAGGAAGGTGTGGGTTGATCGTCCTACGCGTACAGTAGCGAAAGTTCACTGGGTGTCGTCTGATCAACAAATACAAACCAATTGGTGGTTCGCTCCCCCACACCAGTACACAAGCGATTCGCTACCAAGAAACTTCAAGCTTGGGTTTTGACGCAGCAAGTAATTCCTGGATCGTTAGATGGTGCTCGATGTTAACCTTGCAGTCTCGACGCACGCACGAACTTTCATGTCTCATTGAAGGTTAAGAAGAAACTCAACTGGAATCACACCGCCCGTCGCCGCTACCCTCGCACGAAGCACTTGTTGTGCTCGTCGAAGCGTTTGTGGTGCCGATCCAGAGAAGGAGCACCATCAATGCCACGGTTGGCAACGAAAAGGTTACCCGCCAAGGACGGCGGCACGCAAATGCATGAAACGACGGACATCTCATCGCGTGTGTGGTGTCTAGCTTCCGTCGAAGCACCGTCCGCACGCACGCCTAGACAATAACGGACAAAATAGATCGGTAAGGTGGCACTAAACGCGTCTTTGCGACAAACCTGGGCGCGAAAGTGTGGTATTGTTCCCGCGGAGGGACGAGGGCGAGCGTTTGTAGACCTTGTGTCGCTTCTGAAACGGCAAAGAAGCACCTGTCTACAATACACCGGACAGTGTAGTAGGTGTTTGCACCAACTGAGCGTGAACAGATGTTGTCCAGTCGCGCGCGTGGTGGGGCATTTGCATCGTACTGTGGGTACTTGGCAATCGATGAGGAATGCTTACTCTTCTAGCCTATGTGACCCCGCGCCTACTTGGCCATGTTGGCGCAGAGTCGAGGCTTTCCGAATGATCAAACTCCATCGCCTTTCTTTGTCCTCAGGCGAACATCAGACAGACTCAACCCAACCCCGAAGGTAACTACGGTACAATATAGTAATGTATTTCAGCCGGCAGAATGGTCGTCAACCGATACCACCCAGGGGACAGTTGGATATGGTGCAAGCTTCGATGGGTTCTGTGGAGTGACTTTCCGCGTGTATGTAGATAGGTTCTTGATTGTTCAGGGGGTACGTGCGTTGAGCTGCGTCTCCTATTTCCAAGAGCCCTAACGCCTAGACATAAAAAAAAAAAACATGTACAACTGTACAATAGGCTGTGTATGACGCGGCGAATTTTCTCAGCGCTTTCCATCCGGGGTTTAAATGTACCGGCCGGTCGTCATCAAGTTCAGTGCCCTTGCATACAGCAGCGGAGATAAGAGGACAAGTGCCTCATACCAAGACGCTGGACCGACGCTCGTTGGTGTGTAACCAATTAATTAATTAATTAGCCCCGCCAGTTCGTTCGAAGACGCGAACTGCACCGACCGGAGAGGGGATTGCAGACGATGTACATCAGTAGTCAAAATGAGGATCGGTAACTCGCACTCGCCGCTTCCAATCGTTGCTGGTTTTGTCGTAACTATGTGTACCATTTTGGATGTGTACTCCACGCTGTCAGCACCACGGACGACATACCAGACAGAGGCCCTGGGCCACAGTAGTAGCCTGGTAGTGTTTGCAGAATCCACAAATGGTCGATCATATCGAATAGCAGTGGGTATGTGTGCGACAGTTACAGTAGTAGTAGTTGCTCCATCACCTTTCGACCGGCAGGTACTACTAACTAAGTGTAGGGCTCGATGATGTATGCAGTATGTATGTCCCCTCACCGTCTGGTTTTGGCAACTCGCGCAGATGATGTGGCCAAAGGTCAGTCCAGGCTGTGAGACTTTTGTCTTTCGCTGCATGCAGCGTATGTATTTGGTACCTGTCGCCGTTCTCTGTTGCAGTGATTGATCGGTTCTTCTGTGCTGTGCTCCATAGCTTCCGGGCATCTACGAACCGAAAAGCAACATGCCTTCCGGACAGAAGTCTGACTCGACCCGTTCTTCACGATCCTCGGAATTAATTGTACACCATAATGCTCGCATCACCTTTACGCTCTTCTTGTGCGCACCACGACCGACCCCCCCGTGCGATGTGTGTGTGTTTTTTTATTGTTTTAGCTTCGACCGCGCTAACCGGCTGACCAATGAAAAGACGCGTCCGTCTCAGTGCGGCGGGGCGGCGGTGGAAAACGCATTTATTTTTGTGTGCGCTGTGTGTGGTGGGTGATCACCGCTCGTTACGTTCTCTCCATCCGGAGGATCCCAGAATATCTGTCGTTGATTTCTATTGACTTGCGGACCCCTCGGGGCCAGTTTATTTGAGTGTACCTTTTTAGGGTAAGTTAACCTGTGACCACGGGAATCGACCGCGTCGAGTGTTGGATCAGTACGGACATACGAAGGTACTGGGTAGAGAGAGATCGGAACGGTTTTTAATGTGAAGACAACAACAACAACAACAACAACAACAATCCTCTCATGAAATATTTACGTTAGTTAATGTTCCCTCCGAGCGAAGAATTTTTTCTGTCGAAGCACGACGAGCGGTCTCCATCCATCTCCCGTGATTATCATTTTCCTCCTTCGCTTTTCTTCGCGCGAAGAAAATTTTTCTGCGCACGAGAGGTGGTCTCGATTCGCCCTCTCTCGTCTCCTCTCTCCGAGAAGGAAAAAAACCGGGGTCAAAAGTCGACACCAGAAGCGCGCCCGCACTTCAGACTAAGAGCCCAGGAGTTGAGAAATTTAGCCCGAAAAAAAGAACTCTTGTAAGAGCTTGAGCACCATTTGTGAGCTCGGTCTAGAACCCTAAAACCTACCGGTACTTATTATAAAGTGGCAATTCGTAGGATGACCCCAGGAATACAGTAAGAACCCCAGCCTCGTCCGAAACTATGAGGTAAGTGCGGGCGCGTTCTGTATATATGTAAAGGTCGTCAGATTTTCCGCGACGGACACTGAGGTACGTTGTCATTTACTTCATTCAACTGCTCGAGTATCACGCAACGGAAAAGCCACTACTGTTGTCTTCTCGGCACGGCCTCTCATCATCTCTTTGAAAACTACTGCAGAAGTAGTAGTAGCCCTCGACCTTCTTCGGCGACACCCACGTATTCATTTCTAACTAAGCCCTTTCTCCGATCCAAAGATCGCAATCCCTTAGTCTGCGCCTCTCCAACGGCCGTTAGCTAACGGTGCTCTTCGTGCCTGCTGCTTGCTCTAAATAATAGATAAAAAAGAAACTCACTGTTCTTCCCGCAGGTCAAACACAAATCGAAAAAATAACGAGATTCGTGGGTCACCTCTATCGACTACACCATCAACACGACTGCAAGAAAAACGCCTACTACGTCTGTGTTTTAGTCAGATCAATCAAACGCATTTTTTTACAATAACCTGCGGTGCATGTAGTACGTGCGCTCATCTGCCTAACGACCGCTCCCAGCAGGACGACCTCAAACCGAAGCCAACACAATCACCAACAACCACAACCACGGTACAAAAATTAAAAAAAAACTACACCCTAAGCCCAAAACATTGGCTCCACCTAAACAATAGCCTCTCACTCACGCCATGGGCTTCATTGCGCTCCCGTGCACACTAGGGAGAGAAGGCGTATGCTTGAATGAAACGGCCAACAAATTCACACCGCCCAGCAAACACGAGGCGTTGCGGGTACACATCATGATTTGGTTGCCAACAAAGGACACAGCCCGCTGTTGGACTACAACTAACTCCCGCACTTGATAAAAAAAGAACACCATTCTTACTTCCTAACGCCATGCTACGGATGGCCGCTGTACAGGGTATAGAGTAGGGGTTCTCTTCTCGACCGAGCTTACAAATGATGCTCAAGGTATTTGTAGGCTTCATCAACATATTATCTGCTGAGTTAAGTGCGGACGCTCTCTGCGCTTCTGCCTGGCGGCCCCGCAGTCCTGAACGAATCAGCTAGCAGCCGCAGGGCCTTGTTGTAGACGTAGTGCGCCCCCGTGAGCTTAAGGAGCCCTTCCTCCTCCTCCCGTATCGCCACCAGCAGCTCGAGCATCGCTGACGCCTGCCCGTTAGCGGCGGCCGACCACAGGGTCTCGCTCCACGCGCGTTCCCGCCTCCCCACGGTGGTGAAGAAGGCGGTACTGCTGGCGGTGCTCGTGATGTTGGTGGCGGCGGCGGCGGCGGCGGCCTCTGGGGCGTGATCAGCACCAAGGAGGGGCCGCTGCTGGTGCTGCGATTCCTGCTGGTGCTGGTGCTGCTGGTACTTCTGCTGCTGTTGCTGATGCTGTTGTTGTTGTTGCTGCTGCTGCTGCTGCTGCTGGTGGTACCCTCGCCGAGCGGGCATCTCGCTCTCCGCCTCAAGAACCACCGCCACCGGGGGGGATCTCCGGTCCGGACAGAGGTCGTCATCGTCGCTGTCCGGGGGAAGATCCCGCAACAGACCAACGGCGTCCGCCGACCTCCCGGCAGCCGCGCACGCCTTCGCACCGGTCAGGGTGCTCGACCAGTACGGCTTTCCGTCCCCGCTAAGGGATGCAGCCCGCGCTTCCTGGGGTTTCGTTTTCATCACACGGACGGTTTTCAACAACAAAAAAATGCGGCTCGGGACGAGGGGGGTGCGGTGTCATTCCAGGTGGTTGGGGGATGAAGCAAGGGGGGTGGCCGCAGTAATCCATGAGTACCAGCGCCACAGAGATCGAGCGTATTGCCCCAGTTGGAAGCATGGGGATTAGCTGGCGGCTGCTATTTTTTCGTCAATAAGGAAACAGCAACGAATACCTCAGCTTCGCCTTGTGGAGCTTGTTCTGCATTCACACACTCTGTTCGATAACGATGGCATTACGTAATATTCTCGACATGTAGAATATGTGGCAAGTGTCAGGTTTGAGAGCGCGCAGGAGCTACCACGACCGTAGAAAGACCACCAACCGGCGTAAAGAGGGCATGGCAAAAACGTTTCACGGTGTTTCTTTCGCTCTGGGGGGACTTGGACATGGCACCAAGGGCCTCTCCCTTGGTCGAACGAACTATTGCTGTGCGCACACGCGCATTGCCAACAACGAATATACCACCTTCATGAGGGAGAGCACGGTTTCGCCGTCTTTTTGACAACAACAAATATACCTTCACGAGGGAGAGCACGGTTTCGACGTCCCCAGCCAAAGCAAACGCCTCCATTGCCGACGCGAACGAGCGATCCCCTGGCGGTATCCCCGCCTTTGCCATGCCCCGCAGAATCACCAGAGCCCCTGCCGGGTCTCCGGCACGCCTGCGTTTTCATTTCATTTTTCGTCGATTTTTCGGCGAGCATGGGGTGGTGTGGAGCCGATACGCGAGATTCGAATGTGCGTGCAAGAAGGCCCACTTTTCCGTTTGTATACTACGGCGCAAAACGCCAGAAAACAAGAAAAACGAATACCAAATTCAGAGAGAGGCAAAGGCTTCCACCTTCCACCCCCGTCGCCTTCTGTCCGCGCACGCATACGTACCTTCTTGGCGAAAAAAAAAACACGAAAATAACATGCGGAGAGTAGTGCTGAGGTTGCTGGGGAAGTGGTCTGCAACCCCTTACATACCACCGCGACGTTGGCCCTACGACAAGGCAGCGAACGCCGGTGCTCGGTACAACACGTATCGAAATGTTCTTATCCGCCCTGACGACCCCCCCACCCAAAACCACACACAAACATTCTTGGCGAAAAAACAACCGCAAAAATAGCAAATTGTCCCACTCGCTTCGAAGACTGCGACACATTCCCATCGACTGATCGACTGTGGCACTGTCAGTCTTTCTGTGGGATGTATATTACAAAAAAAAAGAAAGCAAAATGCTGCTTACCCGCAAGCCTGCATGGCGAGGCGGAAAGACTTCCCGTCCGGGGAAACACCTTCTTTCTTCATCTCCGACAGGATGCGGAGGGAGTCCTCTCGCCTACCGTCCTGCCAAGACAGCAAAAAAGTGGGGCGATGCGCCAGAACAGTGTGTGTAAACATCGGGCAGCCACAAAGTGTTTCTTCGCGTGCCTTCTGCGGTGCTTGCCCTGACTTTTATCACAAGCTACTGGAACAGAAGAAAAAAAATTAACAACAAAGTCCGGTACAAAACGGTAGCGGGGTTCATCGACTCACCTTAGCACAGGCGAGGAGTGCGGAGTTGAAGGTGATGAGGGTGCGGCTCACGCCACCAGACTTCATCCGGCCCAGGAGGGCCAGCACCTGCCGGGGTAATAAGACAAACAAAAAGCGAATCGTGTAAAAATGGTTGGTATTGATGCCTCCACAATGAGTTGGTGTTCCCGCTGTTGTCGTTCTTGTTAATTTTTTTCACAAAAAAAAACGGTTTCGGCTTCTGCCTACTACTGTTGTCTTTCACATAAAAAAAAATACATCAAATAAAGGTTACGCCTTCGAATACCATCCATTCCTCTACTCCAACTAACGCGGAAGTAACATTAGCGTGTAAACATATAATCTACGGCGCGGTACGTAGTTGGTTAGCGCGTTAAGATATACCATACCTCGTCCGCTTTCCCGGCCCTCTCGCATGACTTCACTGCCGAGCTGAAGCTGTACGTGGTGGGGAGAAGGTCCGCCCGTCTCATGTCCCCCAGCAGACGAAGCGTCCTATTTGCGTCTCCCCTTCTCGCGCACGCAGACAGGGCGAGGTTGAAGCTCAGCAGGTCGGGTTGGTACCTGTTTCGTTGACCAAACAGAGGTATCACGTTAACCGGAGACGTGTAGGTAGATGGCAAAGGTTGATGACGGATCGGATCAGTTCTTGACGTGAAAGAGCGAACGAGGTATCTTTACACGTCAACAACAAAAACAACTGTACACAAGACGAAGGGCCAAAATCAGGGCCTGCGGTTGTCCGACTGTCTGGCGACGTTGGTTTGGAGCTGCGCGCATCGAGGTTGCGCCTGATGGCTCGTCAAACCCAGCAACGAAACCGAGCGACCTCCATGAAAAGGTACGGGCTGTACGGAGCTGCATCGACCCTCGTGCTCAGCCAACAGGGAGAGACAGGACCGCCTTCCCGAGATTGATAAGGCCATGAGGAAATAGATCAGGGAGGGGGCACGCAGACCGCATTCCCTAACCCTAACCCTAACCCAACTTCCCCGATTGCATGCCTTATCCAACATTTTTACTCAATAGAAAAACCTTAGAAGGCGACTGCCTCGCAGAGACAAGCTCGGCAAGCCGGGTCGTGGAGTCTTCCTTACGGACTGGTCTGAATGTACGATAAACGCGAGATCGACGTTGCATGCTGTCAAAGGACTCTTGATCTATAGGGAAATGAGCGATTGGTGAAACATCTACGGCTTTCGGGATGCGACAGTTACACGAGACTGTCAAGCCAGCGCTTCTACCATCGTGGTATCCCAGCGTATCCAACCCGTCCAACATGTCTTCGTTTCCTTCTCAACACATGTACGTCGTGTCTCATGCTCCTCATCTCAACGTTATCCAATGACCATAAAACATCTCGTCGTTACACCGGTTAGCTACAATAACTGCCGTCGGCAGAAGGACACGCACCCCGCCTTCTGCATTTCCTCAACCAGCGGCATCACGCGCTCCCAGCGTCTTATCCCCCCCAACCCCTTGCCTCCCGCGGGCTCCGCACCCAGTACCTCCCCCCCCTCGTCCCTTGGATCATCTTCGCCACCGCCCGAAGCCCCTATTCTACCGCGTCCTCCGGAAACAGGGGATGAAACAGTTCCGTCCCCGGATTTTAATCCGCCGCCCGCGGAGGCGTGAATGAGCGCGTTGTAGGTGATGGCGTTCGGCAGGATTCCCTCCGATATCATTTTCTGGAAGAGGTTGAGAGCCTCGTCTGGTAGCCCGCCTTTGCCGCACACGTCTATCAAGGAGCTGTGTGTGGGGAATAGGGGTGGGGGGAGGAGGGGGGGGGGGTACAAAAAAGCATGGAAGGATAGACACACACAAAGGTGTGTGAGACAGACACAGACAGAGACAGATACACCAGAAACCAAGAGACGCAGACAACTACAGAGGCACAGAAAGACAAAGACACAGACACAGACACAGACGGAGACAATACGGGCAGCCAATGGTAAAGAGAGAAGCGCCGACAGAGCCAACCGCAAAAGGGGAAAAAATATTGTGTCGAACGGCGGTAAAGCAGGAGTTGTAGTCGTGAGTAGGAGGCTGTGGCGGTGTGGGGAAACAAAGCAAAAAAAACGACAAAAGAAAAACAAAACACGCACTTACCTGTAAGTTATCACGGTGCGGGGCACCCTCCTCTCCTCCATCTCCTTCAGCAGCGGCAGGGCTTCGTCGGCAGATCCCGCGTGGCCGCAAGCCGCGATCGCAGCGTTGTACGCCGACGCACCCACCTTTTTCGGGGGGGGGGGGGGCGTCGCGATACACACATAGCCGATGGTTTGGTTGCGCTTGGGGTTGGGGTGGACATCGGTTGCGCGAAGGCACGGACAATATTATTGTGGTTTCTCGATAGTGGAACATCTTGGTGGTGGTGGTGGTGTTTGCACTGAGGATATGGGAGGTGCCATCTCTACCCCTTTTAACGTATTAGCGTACCTCAATCCCCGCTAGTCGAGCTTCCTTAAGCAGGCCGAGTGCCCGGTCCAGCTGCCGGGAGTTCCCGCAGGCGTTAATGGCGGAGGCGTACGTTACAGAATTCGGCGTCACCCCACCGTCCATCACCATCTCTTCCATCACGCCGAGGGCTTCCTTCCAGAGGCCCGCCATACCCAAGGCGTTGATCACGCTGTTGAAGCTGGGATAGTGAAAACGTGGGATGCGGTATCACGCTGTTGAAGCTGGAATAGTGCAACCGTGGGATGCGGTATCACACTGTTGAAGCTGGAATAGTGCAACCGTGGGATGCGGTATCACGCTGTTGAAGCTGGAACGTGCAACCGTGGATATGCGGCAACACGTTGTTGAGGGCGGCATACCGAAACGTTAGATGGTTCGGCCGTCTGTATGGTTCTGAGAAGTTATCCTTGGATGTTCTCACAACCCTGCTGGCTATTGAGTCTGGAGAAAAACAGTGTACCTAGTGCGTGTGACGAGCAATTAATTTACCAACACATTCGAATATAAGTACTTCGAGTATGGTGTTTTTCTCTTGCCGCAGAAAATGTTTATGCCAAGAAGCAGCGTAGGTTATACTGGCACATGCCGAACAACGAGCCGCGTGTGATTTCATCATAGGCAGTTGCTCGTGGTTGATGGTTGATCACGCTGCGGTTGAATCTCGCAAAACCAACGCATACCAGCAAATGGGTTGGCACAGACAATGGCGTATTTCCTAGAGCGTCGATCACGCCGGGGGAGCTGGAACTTTGTCATGTGAACATGTGAAACGACAGAATGATTGTGATTTTTCATCGCAAGTAAAGAGAGCAAAACAAAGAGTGACGACAAAAAAAAAGCAGAGAACAGGCGTCCGAACGACTTGTATTGTCGACATTCTGCTGGTCGCGCTCTGATGATCGTTCACACGGCTTAAGCCGCAACTGCCAGGGGGTTGCGCCGTAGCATACGACTCGCACACCACTTGATGAGATGAGATCGATCACAGCACCGAAGGACACGAGCGCGTTTAAAGGTTAGTCCTGACCAGCCCCACACTTTTGGAGCTGCAATTACGTGTGCTGGTGACTACGGGCTGTCGGAAACAAGAGCTCGTTTTCGCCGACCAGGCTTGACCACATAAATACAATAACCGCCCTCCATATATAGAGGTGTAAGGCATGAAATAGCCAGTAGAAGACGGCACCTATACTGGGGCACAGAAGTTGGGCGGACACAGGCGGGAAGTGATTTCGACAGGATAGAGAGGACAGCGAAAACGTTCTTGAGCCACCTTTGGCAGGGTAGGAAGGAACGATTGGCCATCGGTGATCGGTTCTGTCGGAACAAATGCTCCGTCCTCTCGAGAACGCTTCTTCTAACAGCTGAGGTGTGCAAAACCGATGCCCTAACTAACCTGACGACGTCCGGCGATACACCGTCCGAACGCATGACCCCAAGCAACGCTTTCGCTCTCTCGTGGAGGCGTCCCTTAGCGCACGCGTCGATGCAAATGTTGAAGCAAAACGCGTCCGGCCTTAACGACGCCGCGTTCGCCTCCCCCGATTCGGCGTCGCCCCCTCTTTCCCGCTCCCCTCTCGCAGATCGCCGCATAGTCTCTAGGAGAGAGAGGGCTTCTCCCGTTCGACCTGCTGCCCTACAGGCCCTCACTGTAAAATACGAGACGCACAACGGCAGCTAGTAGTGATGAGAAATGGCCAGATTGTCACTACAAAAAGGCCAGTGTCTCACTACCAAAGGACACAACACACAGCCGCAGTTGTAATAGGGAGTAAAGGGAAATCGTGGAAACGGGAGATGTGGGAGATGTGGGTGATAAGGAGCACGAAAGGAGGACTATTGTCTCGCACCGCAGGGCTACAAGTACCGAGGGGAAGGGGGGCTCCGTAAGAAAGAGGGGAAGAAAGAACCTGCTTCGTTCCGCCAACGAACTTCAATTCCCATGCACATTCATATGCTCAACGGAGACAAGCTCACCCGGAAATACATCCAACCCGTCACCACACAGCTATTACACCGAAATGTGCAAGCGGGCATTCTTTGTTGAACAGCATTGTAGCATCAACCACGACAACCCTTAGGGCACCGGCTGAATTGCTCGGGTTATTGGAGTACGGCAGAATTACAACTCAGATCGTGTGCCGTGGTTTGCGGGGGGCGGGGGGTCGGGAGCGCGCGCCTCGCTCGCAACCGCTCTCTTGCACTAGGTGGACGCGATACAAAAATCGCACGGCTCAAAGGAGATTTCATGCGTGAGAATATCGAATCGCGCCGTAGGGGTCCTCTTGGGGTAACCCCCCGGCCCTAGCCTAGTCGAGACCAAGGTAACAGCATATCAACATCGCGGCGTTCTGTTCAGTTCACAAGAGAGGTAAGTATCACGACATGGTTTGACCCAGGGTCTCTGCTGTATGCACTAGAGCCTGGGGGGTGTCCCCCCCACGAGTTCGAAAATACTTCCGATATTGTGTGAGGCACAGTTCGAGGCTGGCGCCTAAACCCAATCCCTCTTGCCTACTGTTTGGCTTGGCACAGAGTCCTACATGGCGATGGTTCTGCCCGAGGAAAGGTAGATATCAAGTCAGGCTTCGGGCAGAAACGCGATGTGGAAGTCTGCCCGAAGCCAGCGAAGGGGAAGAGGGATTGGGTTTGTGCGCCAGCTTCAAGCTTTGCCTCACACATTCGTCTGAATTTCTTTTTCCTTTCACGGGAGAAGCGCGCCCACCCGAACGCGAAACACCGGTGGCGAGACCGTGATGGCTGTGCCGTTTCACTCCCTTGGTTGTTGCAGCCTTGGCCTCTTCAAGTGGAATGAACGTCCTTCGAAAGAGAAGAAAGGAAACCCCTACCAAAACAAAAACAAGAGTACCGGCCGGTTTTTCTCACTCGCAGCGCTGTACGTGTGTATATCCGGCCGCACCCCCTGTCTCGGCATGTCCTTCAGGAGCGCCAACGCCTCCTTCCATCGCCCCGACGTGGCCATAGCCTCCACAGCCGAGGTGTGGCACCGTGCGCAAGCCGCCCCCTCCGCCGACCTGTCGCCGTGCGCGTTGGGGCGTGGAGGAGTGAAACGTCGCTGGGTTGGTGGGTGCAACGGGTTCGGGTTGTTGGAGACAGATAGACGGGCGGACACAACCGAATAGTGACACAGGCACCTGAGGAGGGGAGGGAGAACGAGAACCGAAGACATCAAGCCTGCGCAAATGTATAAAATGGAGGGAGGGAAAGGGAAGTCCATCATTATCACGGTCCGGACCACGCCGAGGGCGACACAACACTGACGGCATATAGGCGGCAGTAGCAGCAGCTAACGTAGGAAGGACAATGTTCTTTGGCAACACTAGCTGTGGATCGTCGGCGCGTTGACCCCGAAAACACAGAAAACCTGGCCGGTGAAGATCGATTGTACCGAGCAGCGTGGGGCACCGTAATGTAGAATGGAAATAATGCCGTCCCTCCCGGGAAGCCCCCGCGAACGGCGAGAGATGAACGGCGCCGTACTGGTTGTGTCTTCCAGCCCCCTCCCAAAAACGCCATCTCAATACTGAGGCAAGGCCACGTGCGGGGCATCCTTGCACGCGTGGTGACTCCACTCTTGAAAGCGCTCACCGCAAAGCGTGGAGGGCGCCCCGCCAATCCCGGCGTCTCCCCCTGGCCTTGATGTCTCTCTCCAACAATCTGTGGGCCCCCTCCTCCTCCTCGGGCGGCGGAGACCCGTTGAGGCTCACCACCTTGCCTCCGGCCTTACCACGTGCTGGTGCTGGCACACCCGCCTTCCCATCTGCACCCTTTCCTCCTTCGCGCCACTGCCGCCACGAGCCTCCGGCGCTGCTCTCCCTCGGACGGCGACGTCGTTTCTGCGCCCTGACAAAAACAATGCAGCAAGGCAGGGTACTGCTGTTACTTCTCTTGCTTGTGCGTACTTAGCAGCACTAGGACTAGGGTTAGGGTTAGGGCTATCACAACTGGGGGCGCTTGTTGCTCGAGAAATTAGATTCATTGGGCGTCGGAAGTTTCCTTGATAGATAGGGGCGAAAATGGTTCGCATGCTACACAGACACACACACACCAGTGGACCAACCGTCGATGCCAAGCCATACCATATTCTACAGCAGCTGCACTCGTCGTCAAAAGGCCCGATCTCCTGAACTGCGGGTGTACAGCAGTAACTCCCTTGTACATAGCTGCTTTGGGCGACCCGCAGTCGGGGGGATAGGGGCTCGTGGCCTGCTGTGAAGCGATGATATTTGGGTTTGGAACCAGAACTGCGAGTTTTTGGACCCGGCGACCCGGCGGCAGCCTTCGACATCAAAGCCCCAGCATCAGATCTGAGAGTATGCATACCAACGCACACGTCGCCATGCACTACGTTCAATGGCTACAGGTATTTGCGCAAAAGGAAGGGTTACTTCTGCAAGTCTTACATGCTGCTGTACATGAGCCCGGGCCGTTTTCGATGTTCGACCCAAATCATCTTGAATTTAGAGCGCCAATATCAGTGTTGTCCCATGTCCATCTCTCGTCTATGCAGCAGGTAAAAACTCAGGCAAAGCACAGCGTTGAACATAGACATAGCAGGGGTATATACAGGCAGCCGAGGTCAGCGGTAGCCAACTCGCTTCCGCACAACAAGGTACCGTTGGTTGTAGAGACACCTGCCGCTGTCATTTACCTTGCAATATCACTAGAGGCAGCGACGTGACCATCCGAGTCTAAGAGTCGAGAACCGTGCAGAGAGCTCGACCCCCGCCAGCACCGCGTCCTCGTCGCAGCTGTGGCGCAACTGATCCTATGCGCGCTTCTTCGCAGTGGGATGGGGGCTGATGGCGATGCGAGCACGAAACCAAGAGAAGCAGCAGGCTGCTGACCATGGTGCATGTTGAGCAGCCAACAGCCGTAGTAGATGCGAGGCAGGGGTGAAAAACCTTGTCGGATTGATGGTGATGTCGTTGAAGAAGTTCCTTCTACGCCAAGAAGTAAACTGCACACATATCGGAGGCACCTATCTGTGTCTGGCAATAAGCAGCTGCAGTAGCAGCAGCAGCAGCAGCAGCTCAATGAGGTGTATATGGTTCAGTTGAACATTGCGACATTATGCGACCGCTGCTGGCTCTCACGCAATTGTCGGCCTATGGCGTTCTATTCTGCGGTGCCCCCATGACGAACATTTTCGGGCAGCTTGATCCCACACAGCCCTGCAGCGAGCTAGCGGGCACAGCAGAAGCAATTGCTGTGGTGCCAAGACGAAACCCTCGCCTGCTTTGCGAGGCAACGGGTAACCGAAAACCTTCACGTGAAGAACTCTGTGCCTTCGCAGCTGCCCCTTTCCGCCGAGGGGGGGGCATCTCGCGGGAAGTTTCCCTCTTTCAAACAGGAATCGACGCACTGCTTGTCATCACAAACCACCATACGCCCTCGGCGCACACCAACGCTGCAATAGACAGCGAGAGAGAGAGAGAGAGATAGACATAACAGTGAAATATGGAGGTCGGAGCGGCTGTTTGGGTGAAGGACAAGGAGGGCGAGGAGGCCTGGGTTGCGGGTACGGTGCTCGAGAAGAGCGCGGGGAAGCCTTGCAAGGTCGAGATCGAGGTGGACGAAGAATTCTCGGAGGAGCCACTCACGTTCACACTACGGGAGGAAGATGGTGAGTAGCATATCGTAGTATTTAGTGTGTGAGCGGATTTCGGTTCGAGTATGTATGTACCTGCTGCTTTGCGCCGCTTGGATGGTCTGCTGCTGCTACACAGCAGCAGCAGCAGCAGCAGCAGCAGCAGCCCTCCCCTCCCCCCTCCCGCGATTGCGAGAGAGCACCTACGCTCGTAAGGTTTTGCCCTGCTTCGACTTCGAGCACACGCACGCGCTACAACATCTCTCAGCATGAGAGAGAAGCCTCTGCTGTGCTTTCGTTTGAAAAACAAAGGAGAGAATTAGTCCGTTGAGCCACGTGCAATTTCCCCGGTGCTGCGGCGTGGAGACAAGAGAGGGGGCAGTGCACCTGCGGGTAGCATTTGTTTTAGCCGTTCCCGGCGATGCCAGCGTGGTTGGCAACAAGCGAAGGGAAATCCACGCACTGCTGTGTGTGCTTGACGGGAGGGAGACTTGCTGCGGAGCAAAGACATCATTAGTCATGTAGCCTAAAATTTTGATGCACCTCTGCACCTCTGCTGCTGTGTGGACGGGTTTTTGATGTCACGTGCGACAAAAGGGGGTGGCAGCCCCATCCCACGGCACCCCTGCACAGCGGCAGGTAGCACCCCCCCGCAGCTCACCCGCAGCCGGCTCGCGCCTCCTGAAGCGGCGTGGCGAGAGCAGGAGGTTGCTGCGCGAAGAACACTTTAATTGTATTGCGGAATTTAGGATTTCGGAACGAGCCGGCAGCGGCGGCGGTATGGTATCCCGCACACGATGGTCTTCCGCATATTGTTTATTTTGACAACCAGTCGTCATTATTTGTACTATGCAAACCATCAATGTCTCCGGTCATGTTTGAAACAAAAGCATTTGGCTGTCCATCGATTGAGCACAAATGCCATCGGGGAGTTGTTAGGCGAGTTATTCGAAGAGGAGCCGCTGGTGCTTACGCTGTGTGATTCTTGCTGTGGTAATTATTTTGCCTCTTGTAGCGCTACCGCGGCACTTGTAGCGTTGCATCGTATGACAGCTCTTCTTGCGGACACCCTCTCTACCTGGGCTTGTCACCAACAGCAAGCTGTTGCTGTTGATGACGCCTTGCCCACCATCAGGCGTTTATTTCGGATAAGGGCGGTGTGCACTCCTGGGCATTGACGGCCTCACTATTTAATTCATATTTTTACCCCGTTTTCTGAACTGCTCGTGTGCATCCCCCCCTCCCCCTGAAAGAGCAGCATATGTGGCGATTTATGCATACGGTGCTGCAAAGAATAGCAGCTCTGTTACCAAATACTAATACTTGCTCCACACACAATACACCGTGTTTGACATTTTTGTAGGGGGAGGAGGTGATTACCCTTCCTCGCGTTGGTGGTGTGTTGTACGAGAACAGGGCCATCTCCACTTTTAAGACCCCACAACACGTTTCGAATAATGAAAGCGTCTTGGCTATGCGTTGGAGATCAGCCTCTCAGGCGACGAGGGACTGCTCTGCCGGGGATGTTCTTTTCGTCGAGCTGTCACCAAGATGTTTCTGCGGCAGCAAAGCGCCAAGCCCTAGCAACGAAGCCCAGTTGGTGTTGGATTCACGGGCTGCTTTTGAAGTGACACGCGTTTGTTGGACCAGTATCAACAAGGTCCTGGGCGGAGAACGGAACGTTTTTTTCAATCTGAAGACCACCACTCTTCCCGTGTAGTCTTTCGTGGTAGTACCATTCCATATTCCATATTCCACCCTGTCACCAGCGGGTTTCCACCACAAGGGAGATGCCGTTTACTATACGGAGTATTTCGCGCGACGTTCTCAGGGCATGTCCATCATTTGCTAACGCTGGGGTATCGATCTGCCGTACGGTGAAAGACAACATGAGACTTAGCACCCGGGCTACCTTGAAGCGTTTAGCATTCCGCTAAACCCAACTGGGGCGTCGACATTCTAGATAGGTGTTATGGTATGATCGGTCACCCGAACATGATGACATGATCTGAAGATGCTTGCCATTTTGGTGTCACGCTGTGCCGTGGTGAAGACCTAAACCTACCTCGGGGTCTCGTATATCTGCGGAGGGGGTATGCCGCTCTACTATGCTTGGGCTTCTCTACCTTAGTGGTTGTGGTCGTGTACGGCACACATGAGACTTTTTCCTATGCATGACACTTGGTGGCTTCCTTCGGTGTCTTGTTCGCAAGGTTAAGCTCGGTGCACCGTCGCCAACCCAGTAGCCTTGGCAGGTTTCTCTCTGTTGAGCAAATACTTGTGTCGGATAAAGCATACGATCGGGGAAGTTGAGTTAGGATTAGGGTTAGGGAATACGGTCTGCGTCCCCCCTCCCTGTTCTATTTCCTCATAGACTTATTAATCACGCGAAGGCGGTCCCCCCAACGGCGCAGTATCGATCCAACAGCGTTGTGTCTCGTGGAAGCGTTGTGCGGGCGAGCAGTCTGGGTCGACGCGAGCCCGCCCATCCGACAGCCACAGGTCAAGTGCGATTCCCCCACCCTCTTGCTCCCACCCTCGTACAGCTCTCGTCCTTCTTCCAGCGTGTGTCGTCTGCTTGACACAACAAAATTGCTGACACGCCTTGTGCATCCCGGACCCCGCTGTGCTTTGTTCCGTCCGCGTCTCCCCTCGTCCTCCTCCTCTTCTTGTCTGTGTTTGTTGTGGCGTTTCCTGTTTTTTTTTTTCGGTGGTGTTGGGGATGGGAAATGAAGGTTACGAGCTGGAGGACCTTAAGCTGGCGAACGAGGAGGACATGGACCACGTGGAAGACCTCATCGCACTGCCGCACCTGCACGAGGCGGCCATCCTGCACTCCCTGTGCAGGCGTTTCGACAGGGGGGACATCTACACGTTCACGGCAAACGCCATCCTGCTCGCGGTAAACCCTTTCAAGAGGCTCCCTCTCTACAGCAAGGAGCTCTTGACGGAGTACTTCAACATGGGGTACATGCGTCAGCAGGGGATAGAGCCGCCTCAGGCCCTTGGGCCGCACGTTTTTGCGATCGCGGACTCTGCCTACCGTGACATGATGAAGGTGGGCGTTGTCGTTTAGTTGTCGTTGATAGTGATGGGTTTGTGTTGCTGCTGCTGCTGCTGTGACTGTTGCTGTGGCGGTGATAATGGTGGTGGTGGTGGTGCTGCTGCTGCTGCTGCTGCCATGGGTGTTGTCGTTTTTCATTGGTGTTACTGTTGTTGTTGGTGCTGCTGCAGCTGCTGTTGTTTTTTCTGCTGCTGTTGTCGGCGGTTTATGTTGCCACGCGTCCAACACCGAGCTACAAAGATTGCGAATGCAAACGAGACTTGTTGTCAATTCATACAGACGCATGCCGTGCTCATGTTTCGCTGCAACCATCCAGGGTATTCACGCGGGGAAGTCGGCGGGCATGGGGCCGGTGAACCAGTCCATCCTCATCTCCGGAGAAAGCGGTGCCGGAAAAACGGAGAGCACCAAGTTCGTCATGAGGTACACACAGTCTGCGATTGAGGCTTGAGTCGGCACTGAAGAACTAGAGTGAGGAGATGGTTCCTTAGGGAACCCGGCAGGGCAGGGGTAGTTGCGGTTGGAAGCGGTACGGAATGGGACGGTGAGTGTTTTGGCGGCACAGAATGGGACGGTGAGTGTTTTGGCGGCACGGAATGGGACGGTGAGTGTTTTGGCGGTACGGAATGGGACGGTGAGTGTTTTGGCGGCACAGAATGGGACGGTGAGTGTTTTGGCGGCGGGGGGAGGGTGTGTTCGGGAGCCGCCCGTGGGATAGCCCCAGCGTTGCCTGCACGCGGTTGTCGCTAGCTTCATCCCCGGGGGCTGACGGATTTGGCCATGCTCTCATAATGCGTCAGCGCCTTCGTGGCAGTATGAGAGCATGGCGTTGGCGTGCCCTTGTGTAGGTGCAGGTCGATATGCTTACCCTACCCTCGTATCCCCTTGTGATAAAAAGGCCTTGGTGTCCTGCAGGTGTCACACTGGAACCAAACCTCATCTAAATGGCCTGATTTTCCCGGCCGTTGCTCAAGTATCTTTTTTGTCTCTCGTCCTCCTACAACCCCCCTCCCCTCCTCCCCCAACCCCCCCGCCTCCAACTGCCCATGCTGCCCACTCAATCTACCACCCATCCATCCATCCTGCAGAGCCTCCGACAGCAGTTAAACCTTCCACCCCCGCCACAAGATCTCCAGACCTCCTCGCGTATTGAGCAACACTCCCCCCCAAACCACGCGGAAAACAAACAACGTCACGACCCAAGCCACAACAATTGAGCAGAAAAAAAACTA